GGATACATTTGTCTTGCTAATGTCATTATTTGTGTTTTATCTCTAGTATTTTTAAATAATATCATATAATGCTGGTTAATACTTATTGTTCTCATTGATTTTGATTGATAAAAAGCATTTTGTATTATAAAAAAGACACTAAAATTTAAATGATGAGACATTTTTGTGAAAATATCTTCAAACTTTGGTTCTTTATGAATAGCGTTCATCAAATCATCTATAATTACTATATCTGGCTTAGACTTTATAATCAAGTCCTCTGTAGGTAAGCCATTAACATATACTACATTTACATTTTCTGCTATATTTACATCTATTAACGGTTGCCATTGCCCATATGCCCACAATACATTAATAGTTATTTTATTTATATTATAAAATTGATTTTCATAGTTTTTTAATATACGCCTAATTAATACGGTTTTGCCTGTTCCTGTTTGACCTATTATAAGACAATTACATGGATGTTTAAATTGTATATGTTTAATATCCATAATTTGACCGGAGGTCATTAATCACCTCTCTTTTATTAATTTATTACGCTTCAAATATTACATCATCCCATTCTTCTACATCTGTTATATTTCTTTGATTTTTTAAATAATATTCATTATGTTCTTTTGCAGAAATATTAATTGGTCGGTTAAATACAATTTGATCACGCACACAATCAAATATGTATATTGTGGTTAAGTGTTTTTCCAATATTTGATTTAATATAAAAGTGTATGCTCGATCATAATTATCGTTGTAGAAAAAACTGACTAATGTTACTCTTCTGTCAGGTCCCCAATACTTGTACAAGAAAAAGTACAAGTCTTTTAAAAACTTTTTGAATTCGTTATCTTCATAATATGTGGATATACTTTTATTATGTATATCAATAATTCCAACAACAAATAGTAAAGATTCACATTGAGCTTGCTTCAAGTTTAGTATTTTATTAAAATGTTGTTTACTACATTTTCGATGATGTATCAAAATTTCACCGCTATATAATACAATGTTACAATATTTACACTTAAACATTTCATCTTCATTTGGATAACGATACGTTATGCCGAATACTCGACCCATAACTAAATATATTTTATAAAATTTGTTACTTATATAGAAGAGAAAAGAGCCGTGGGCTCGTATAGTGCCCTCTATTGATTAATTTATCTAAATAAATCAGTATCCCAATAATACTGATTATTTATATATCCTTTATTTATTTTATACCAGTCGTTTATTGTTTTTAATGTGTATCGTTTTAAATTTTGGCGCATTTCTTCATTAAATTCAAAAATATCAAATTTAGGCACACGAGTGGTTGGAATATCTTCAGTAATTTGTTCCAGTATAAACATGTGATCTAATGGTATCTTGTTTGCAAAGAAAAATGTTGCCGCATATATCGACAATTTTCTTGTTTTGTTTAGAAATTCGTATATAGTCATAAGAGATTCATCAAATTCTTCGTTTTTATTCAAATATTGTCCAACAGATTTATTACATTTTGTCACAATTTGAGTCAAAAATAATAATATTTCCATTTTTGATTGTTCCAGTGACAAGTTATTATTTACATTTATTTCACTACATTTTCTGTAATGTGGTATAAGATCACCAGTGTATATTTCATTTTCACAATATTTACATTTGAATATATATTGTACATCTTTTGGAGGACACGTAATTTTGAATGGATTACCCATGACTGAATGTACATGAGTTTAAATCATGCTTTATATACATTTTATGGAACATGCGTAGTAGGAGCTTTTATTATACGCAATGTTAATATTATTACGTCATTATAAAACGTAAAATCGTGCTGTTTTTCATTAATCATATCCAATATATTTTCGTAATTAAAATTTTTTATTTTAATTGGGGCATAATAAAAAGGCACATTATATAGTTCATTAGTTAACTCTATAGAAAACATATCTTCATCACTATGTTTATTAAACTCTTCATCTAATATAAAATTTAATTGAGCTATACAAAATAAACTTTTAACATTATACTTAAATACTTTTTCAATAGTGTTGAATATATTATATCTCTTTTCTTTAAAGCTTATTAATTCCATTTTTATTTAATTAGATTTCAAATCTCCTATTATAGACTTGCGTTATATTATTTATGTATTATATCGACGAAATTTATATATTACGTCACTGTTATTATTGCGCATGCGTAAAGCATTGCGTCAACTTTTATTACTGCGCACGGGTAAAAGATTGCATCAACTTTAATTACTGCGCATGCGTAAATGATTGCGTCGGCTTTTATTACTGCGCATGCGTGTAAATGTAAAAATGTCTATATTAGTAGCCAAATCAATAATAATAAGTCAGTTAGACATTAAATGCCAACAATGTCACAACCAGAGCCTTACCCGCTCTTGAATTTAGTAAGACAATCTGCTATTTCTACTAAAAAATACAATAAATTTAATATGATTGAGAGAACAACTAGCTTTACTATTGAACATGATTTAAACACTGAACCCAATTTAGCTGAAATTAAAGATGAATTAGAATCACAATTATCTACTTTTATAGATGAAATGATACCTGATGCAGAAGACAGAGATTATATAACTGTTTCCATATCTCATGAAGAAATGGAAACGCCTATTTATATACACACTAAGAAATCAGATTTTTCTCCTATTATGGTATTCAAAAAGATGGAAATGATTGCCCAGTCATTTAAATCTTTTTTCCATAATAAAAAGTTTGATTTAAATATTAGTATTAGTAAACCTCAAAATGGCGGTGGCTATGTTAAAATAGCCAAAGCTCCAAAAACAATAGACCAAGTTAGTAAAAGTAAACGATCGGTAGTTTATATAAAAAATGCAGATAATAGTTGTGGGTTTAGGGCTTTATTTGTTTCTAAATATTATACAGATAATAAGAATAATTTAAATAAAAAAATTTGGTATACTGTTAAAGAAAATAAAAATCTAGCACAGTATAATGGAGCTGCTGAATTGGCTCTCAAGTGTAATATAGATGTTAATACAAAGTTAGGGCATAATGAGTGGTCTGAAATACAAAAAATATTCCCCTCTTATCAGATTATAGTAATTTTTGCTGAAGAAAGGGATAATTATTTATTTATAGGACCAGAAAATAATAAGAAAATTTATATAGAATTTCATAAAGACCATTATAATGCAATAGTTAATATAAAGGGTTATTATGGTAAAGATTTTTTTTGTGAGCCATGTTTAGTTGCTTATAATAATTTTTATGATCACAGGTGTCAGTATAAATGTTCTCAGTGTTATGAAAAATGCACAGGTGATTTACATGATATTATTTGTTTTGATTGTAATAGAGTATTCAAAAGTCAAAATTGTTATGATAGACATATAAAAAATAAATTATGTAAATTTCTTAAACAATGTAAAGAGTGTAGATTTATATATAACGCTAAACATAAACATAAATGCGGATTTTATAGGTGTAAGAAGTGTAATCTAATAACAAAAGAACAGCCGCATTATTGCTTTATTACACCTAAAGCTATAGATAAATTAGTAGAGCAAGATAGTATTAATAAATTTATAGTAGCTTTTGATATTGAAAGTACACAGATTGATGACTTTCATAGACCTAATTTAGTTATTTCTAAAGTTAAATGTGATAAATGTAGTGATAGTTGTAGTGTTTGTCCTTGTGAAGAAAAAGTATTTTTTGGCGACAATTGTATTAAAGAGTTTGTTGATTATATTTATAATGATTTAGCAGTATTGGCTGAGAAAAATAAATCTGAAGTATATACATTTGCTCATAACGCCAGAGGTTATGATGCACAGTTTATTTTAAAGGAACTCTGGAATAGATATTATAATAACGTAGAAGTAGTATTACGAGGTAGGAAAATATTATTTATCAAGTGCGGTAATGTAAAAATGATGGATAGTTTAAATTATTTTCTCCAATCATTAGAAAAATTACCTAAAGCTATGGGTTTAGATATTAATATAGCTAAAGGGGAATTTCCACACATATTTAACTTACCAGAAAATTATAATTATATTGGACCTATACCTGACTAAATATTTTAGCCCAGATTATATGAGTGTTGAAAAAAGAGATAAATTTTTTCAATGGTATCAGCAGCAATTAGATAGACGTGACTGGAATTTTATGGATGAATTAATTATGTATTGTAGGAATGATGTGGAAATTTTATTACAATGTGTATTAAAGTTTAGGCAAAATTTCATAGATTTAACAGGCATTGACCCCATTACTAGATGCTTTACTTTAGCATCTATAGCTTTAGAAGTTTTTACTACAAATATTATACAAGATAATGATTTAGCCAATACTCCAGTTAAAGGGTATACAAAAGCAAAAAATAACTCTATAAGTGCAAATTGTTGGTTAGATTACATACAAAAGGAAAATAATATTACACTAAAAAGGGAATACAGAATAGGTAATTATTGGGTAGACGGGTTTTATAATGATACTGTATATGAGTATTTAGGTTGTTTTTGGCATGGTTGTACTTGTACATTCAAAAATAATAGGGATGAAAAACTAGTTAGAAATAAAACCGATATCCTAACCCCCAATGAGAGATATAAGTATACAGTAGACAAAATTAATTTCCTAAAATCTAAATATAATGTAGTTAGTATTTGGGAGTGTGAATTTAAAAAACAGCTAGAAAATAAAGATTTGAAAGCTTACTATAACTCTCGCTTTACATATCATAAAAATCACGAATCAATCAATATCCGTAACAGTTTATTTGGGGGAAGAACTAATAATTTACATTTTCTATATAAAGCTAACATTGATGAAGAAATTAAGTATTTGGATGTTTGTTCACTGTACCCTTATGTTCTTAAATATTTTCCATACCCCCAGTCTCACCCACGTATTATTAATGAAGATTTTGATTACACCTTAAGTAATTACTTTGGCTTTGTTAAATGCAAAGTTACCGCCCCTAATAATTTATACTTACCTGTTTTGCCAGTAATGTTGGACCATAAATTACTATTCCCTTTATGTGTCAACTGTGCAAAAACTAAATCAGCTACATGTATCTGTAATAATAGATCATTTACAGGTACATGGACTACTGAAGAATTAAAGCTAGCATTAGAAAAAGGTTACACAATAAATACAATATATGAAGTTTTAGATTATGAAAAAGATTACAGTAAAAACAAATTCAAAATATATATAGACATGTTTTTAAAAATTAAGCAAGAAAGTAGTGGTTGGCCAGAGTGGTGTACTTCTGAAGATTTAAAGCAACAATATATAGAAAATTATTATGAGAAAGAAGGGGTTAAATTGGAGTATAATAAAATTCAGAAAAATGAGGCTCTAAGATACATTGCTAAGTTAATGTTGAATAGTCTTTGGGGAAAATTAGCGCAAAGACCAAATCAAAATAGAACTTCAATTATAAAGACATTCAACGATTATTGGGAGTTAATAACCAATAAACATATAGAATTATTAGGACATGTATTTGTTAATGAAGATACAATTATATTTACTTGGAAATATATAGATGATGACAAAGATTATGCTAGAAATTATAATGTCGCAGTTGCTTCATTTGTGACTGCTTATGCTAGAATAAAATTATACAAAATCATGGAAGAAATTGAAATCATAAGACCAAAAAGTCTCCTATACCACGATACAGATTCAGTTATATTTTATAGAAAATATACCGATCCTATAATAGTATGTGGTGATTATTTGGGAGATTTGACAGACGAGATTATAAAAGATTACACAAGCAATTCAAAGTGTATTGAGTTTGCTGCTTTAGGGCCAAAAAATTATGGCTTTAGTGTACAAAAAAGTGATGGGGCTATTGTGTCCCTATTTAAGTGTAAAGGAATAACATGTCATTTTCTAGCAAAACAATCAATCAGTTTTGAGAAAATGCTTAATATGGCGCTAAATTATAGAGATTCAAATGAAAACAGTATAATTAAAGTCCCACAGCGTCAATTTGTCATTAATAAATACAATGACATTAACACAAAATACTATAAAAAAGAATATAAAGTAACAAGTGACAAACGCTATATAAATGGAGTATATACATTTCCATATGGCTTTGTCTGTGCTTAAGTTAATACTACCAAAATATTTTCCCAACCACTGCATAATGGTGGTCTTTACTCTGTTCGATGCATAATGTCGAAATATCTTTCCCAACCACTGCATAATGGTGGTCTTTAATCTCTGTCCGATGTCTATGTCGGAATATCTTTCCCAACCACTGCATAATGGTGGTCTTTACTCTGTTCGATGCATAAAGTCGAAATATCTTTCCCAACCACTGCATAATGGTGGTCTTTACTTTCTATCTGGTAGTATTGAAATATCATGAGGGCCTATATAAATCACCCCTCGGGTAAACAATAATAGTAAGTAGCTTTTAATTTATGTAAAAATGAAGTTTAATTGGGACTTTGACTATAAAAAACATTTAGACGTATTTTTATTTGGTATATTAGGCTTAATTTCTCTATATTATTTAATTTGTATTAATAATAGTTCTTATAAAATTGAAAGAATTCTTAATAAAAGCGTTAAAATATAAGAAAATCATTGTCACGTGGCGCCCCACGGGTAAGTGACACCGTAATTTATGTATTATTTGCGTCATGTTTGTGTTGTTTAACGTTATTTGTTTGCGTAATTTATGTATTATTTGCAATAGACTATAATAATTATTTTATATTATTAATTATATTAATTAAGCAAAAACTTATATATCTATATATATTATTATTGCGTCATGTATTATTGCGTCATCTTTATTCCTATTGTGAATTGCAACTACGTTGCGTATACATATTAGGGATTTTTGGGTTTTTTTTTCCCATGTTAAAATCGTATACAGAATTATAAACCCATCATTAAAGTTTCATAAGTTAAATAGACAACATTTTTGTTGTTGTAAAAATCTATATAAATTAAATAATAATTTTTAATTAAATCCAGTAATTAATTTCATTTTTAATAAATTAGTTAAATAATTATTTAGTTGTTTATTTAATTTAAATATTTTGTCATTAAATAAATATTTAAATAAAATTATAACTCTTATAACGATTAAGAAAAACTAATGGCAAATATAATTAGAAATTTTATTTACTTTATACTAATGTTTCTAACATTAAGTTTACGTTTAATACAGTATCTGAACGATAATGTATTGACTAAAACCTATACACAATTACATGAAATGATTGAACAATTTAATCGTCAAAATTGGTTATCTGTTTACAATACATACGATGACCTATACTATAGGCGCCGGCCATTGGATAGTCGTAAACGTATGGTTAGGATATTGCTAATCAAATCTGTAATATTGTTGAATGCATTCAGATTTATGGTAATCAGTCTAACAGATGATCCCCAATGGCTGGCACTGGTATCAAATTTTATTTGTTACTATATCCAGGATAATAGCGATAGAAAATTTATTGGACTAGTAGTGGCTATTGTTTTTTTATATAGTTTGTTTTAAAGCAATAGTTGGCTAATTAAAGACTACCAGTGCTTGACTACTACTAACACTACTACTAGACTGTCCCATAGATTTTGGACGTATATGTTTTCAATGAAATATCCTCAGCACCGGTATCTAAAATATCAGCTCAAATATACCTATAATAAATATTGGTTATTCATATCTAATCTATTTATACCACTAACAATATTTAATTATTATTTATTTATTATAATCTATATATGTTGGATACAATTGTTTTAACTAATTTAATACCATGGTCATTTACTAATAATACTAATGGCCAACAATCAACTATGCTAATATGGCCAACAATTATATGGACCCTGGTATTTTTGATAGGTATGCAACAATTTTTTGCCCAACTATACTACTATACGTTAATAGCATTTGTATCGTTTGGCTATATATTGTTGAAAATTTGGGAGGGTAGCCAAAAATTTATTAAACTACATCATCATCATCATCATCATGGTAAAATTTCTAATAATATTAATAATTATATTATTATTAATAAGTTAATGTCATCAATTTGATGAGCACCTGTATGTTAGATAAATTAATACAGTATACTAGCAAATATTATTCAACACTATTACTTAATATATACTATCTATGGTTAGACTGACCACTCTATTTATTAGTAAACCTGTATAATACAATAAAATATATGAATTTCACCTGTATTTTCCTGTATATTAAATATTATATTACTGTATGTTAACCTGTATTCAAATAACTATATATATATTTATAATATAAATTTTTTTTTAAAAATAAATTTAAATATAATTACATAAAAAGATGAAATTTAGTTTTTTTATTTTGAACATGAACAACTTTATTTTATAAAATTTAATTTTTAAAAATTTATTTTATATATTTAAACTTTATATTAAAAATTTTACCAATTTTTATTAACAAATTTTACTTCATAGTTATTTTATACTTTTATTAATTAATTGGTTTCACATATTTTAAAACTGTATATTACATTATACAGGTTAACCCCTTTCCTGTCACCTGTATCAGACCATACATTCCTGTATGATACAGGCGTCACCTGTATGGGTGGTCAGTCTATCTATGGTATACATTGATAATATTTTTACATTTATATTGCCAACAATTGTAATCTAGATTTACTGTATAGACTATTAATTTATTGTATGGTTATTATTCAATCATTAGTGGGTCTATTAGCTGGTTGGGTATTCATTGTGTGGCTAAATCATCTAGCACATAAACCTAGAAAATTAATGTTTGCGCAATTAATTAAATTGGATACTAGTTTGTCGATTGTTGATAGATTGAAAATTTTAAAATTTATTGAACGTCTATCCGATGATTGTATTGGTTTTTATTGTGGCAATTGGTTTCCCATAACCGGATTCATTGTATTTCAATATCTATTTGTTTTGGCCAACAATTATACATTGTTTCTAACAATGTTTGGCTAACAAATTATATATAAATTATTTTTTAAATTAAAATATACTAATAAACTGATTTGATTGATGTATTATTATTATTTTTTAATAAATAAATTCAATTAATATTTTAACTGCTTAATATTATTATTATTACTTTTTTTAGTTATTATAATTATTTAATATATTTAAATATATATATATATAAACTATATATATATATATATATATGTGTGTGTGTGTGTGTGTGTGTTTTCAATGAAATATCATCAGCACCTGTACCTTAAAAATATCAGCTAAAAGTATAGCTATAATAAATATATTACTTATTCATATTGAATCTATTATAGGTATACCTATATATATATATTTAATTATAATAAAAAACAATAATATATCTAAAGAATATTGATTAGTATATAATAATTTTTTTTTTAAATAAATTTCTAAATATCAAGAGTATACTAATAAAAAAATATGTTTTTAAAATAAAAGCTTTAATAAAAACTTATACTAAGAAATTCAAGAAAAATATCACGAAATTTTGTAATTATAATATAATTTATATTTTTTATATATTTTTAGTCTAATTAGTTCCTATTTAATATTATGATTATTTTATTTATTTTATTTTTTTTTTTTTGAATAAGTAAAATAGACTTATAATGTGAACTTAATTTTCAAAAAAAACTTGAAAAGTTTTGTTTTCTGAAATCTATATGAGCCTTTTTAGTGTGTGTGTGTGTCTGTAGCATTTCATTTTGCGAATTTTGAAATTCTGACTTCAGATTCGGTTAGAGGACTACTAATAATGTATTGAAAAGTTGCATCAAAATTTTGATAACTCTTCGGGAACATAGACAAAATGGCGGCAAAAGTAAGAAAAATTTTAAGAAAATTTTTTTAAGTATAGATTTGAATAAAGCATTAAAAACAAGAATAAAAAAACACTAAAATTTTGATATCTCTTCGGGAACATAAAGAAAATGGCGGCCAAAGTAAAAAAATTAGGTAAAAATTTTAACGTTTAGAATTGTAAAGAGCATCAAAAATATGATATAATATATCAGTATAATTTTTTTTAAATGGCGGCAAAAGTATAAAAAAAATTTTAAGAATTTTTTTTAAGTATAAATTTGAATAAAGCATCAAAAACAAGGATAAAAATATGCATTAAAATTTTGATATCTACGGGAACAAAAAGAATAAGTATAAGCGGCAAAAGTATAATTATAGATGATTATTTTGTTATACTAAATCATTTGATACCCCACATGACTATAGTTGTTTATTTTGTCATACCGAGTCATTTGATACTCTACATGACTAAAGTTAAGTTTATTTTGTCATACTAAATCATTTGATACCATACATGACAATATTTATATTATGTATATCTGACCAGTTTTTAAATTTTTATATGTTATTATATAGCCGCTATAATTATACAAACTAATGGTTTTCAATGCTATTCAAGTTTTTTTTCTGAAAATGCTTTCTAGCATTCTTAACTGGTTTATTATGAATCTATTATACAAAAAAAATATAAAAAAAATTAATTTATTGAAAATATAATTTCAATTTCTGAAAAAAAATATTATCTGTAATAATATAATAACTGTAAAAAATTTTTTTTGGTTGCATTAGTTTGTAAGTTTATTTAGTTAATTAGACAACATTTGATAAAACTATATAAATCTAATAATAATTTTCAATTAAATCAAGTAAATAATTTATTTTTTTTAATAAGAAAGACAAATAATTATTTAGTTATTTTACTTTAAATATTATTTGTTATGATATATATATATATTTAAATAAAATTAAATCTCTATTAACTAAAAAAAACTAATGGCAAACATAATTAGAAATTTTGTTTACTTTATACTAATGTATTTAACATTAAGTTTACGTATTATACAGTATCTGAATGATAATGTATTGACTAAAACCTATACACAATTACATGAAATGATTGAACAATTTAATCGTCAAAATTGGATATCTGTTTACAATACATACGATGACCTATACTATAGGCGCCGGCCATTGGATAGTAGTAAACGTATGGTTAGGGTAGTCCTGATTAAAGCCATACTATTGTTGAATGCATTCAGATTTATGGTAATTGGTTTAACAGATAATTACCAATGTCT